AAACAGGCAGAAGGTAGACATTTCCATTACTAACGGGAGAAGTTGTTGGAGGGAAAAAAGAGGTGTATGTACCCAGCAAATCCAGAACCCCACAGAGTAATTAAGCTCTGCTCTCAAAGCTTGAAAATAACCCTGTATTCTCTGAGACCATCCACAAAGTAGCCCTCCCTGCCCTCCAGACTCTGGGTATTGACCATTTCCTCTGGAGTTTGAGTGGAAGTCCCTTGGCTCTGGGCTTCGGCTCCATCTCCTGGGCCTACTGGAAAAGCAACTCTGATCCCTTGGCTTTAGGCGACCCCGTTCTCTTAGTCCATCTGGGTGGCGACCTCAGCCCCAATAGTCCGGAGTCTTAGCCCAGAAACATGTCCCGGGTTAATCTGACTCCAGGGTTTCTTAAAAATCCTGGTGTGGCGCTGTGGGTTAATGCGCCAGACTACAAAGCCATTTGAACTGCAAGGTCAGTAGTTCAAACTCACTACTGCTACTCCTCGGAAACCCTGTCTAGGGTCGCTATGGGTCAGAACCTACTCGAAGGCACTTAACAATGAAAGGGTTACTTAATCACTCTGCTGTTATTGTAGTATTTCCAGTTAGGAATTTACAGATTAGCACTTCCCTGTAATTCACTTTTCTTTAGAAACCTCTCTTTTTTTTTTTTATAGTTCTGATAGTGTTGTGAGGAATTATCTTTACAACACTGGCTCTCAAACTTAACTAGACTTTTGAATCACCTAGGAGTTTTAAGAAACCACTAGTGGCTGGGTTCCATTCCTAGTTTTGAGTTAATTGGTCTGGAGTGTGGCTGGGCATCTGGGTTACTTTCAATCTCCCCATGAGATTCTAATATGCAGAGGAGTTTGAGAACTGCTACTTTGGAACAATGTAAAAGTTTTACATTCTAAATTCTGATCATAAAGGATCAGGGGTAAAAAGAGGAAACCTCTCAATGAGATGAATTGGTACAGTGGCTACAAGAATGGATTTTAAACATAACAATTGTGAAAATGGCGCAGATAGAGCAGTGTTTTGTTCTGTTGTATATCGGATCTCTGTGAATTGGAACCGACTTGATGGCACCTGTCGGATAAACACTGGACCGCAAGGTCAGTTTGAACTACAAAGTCGGTGGTTCTGACTCACCAGCTGCTCCTCAGAAACCCTGTACGGGATCTCTGTGAGTCTGAACCAATTACATGACACTTAACAATAGCATGTTAGTGCAAAAAAAACTTAAGTAATGTTTTAATTACAGAAGTACTACTTTAGAAACTACATACAAGCACCCCAGAATATAATAAAAATCACCAAGAATCCCTTCACAGAAAGATATTGAACAGTATACTTCACTACCAGCTATTCCACGGGAGAAAGATGAGGCTATCTGTTCCCGTAAAGATTTACAGTCTCTGAAACCAGGTACAGGGTCGCTATGGATCGGAATCTACTCCACAGCACAATAACAACAACAAACAACAACATCACATGGGCTTCTGCCTATTTTATGTATTTACATCCTTTCTAGACCGGGAAATTCTTGAGAATAGTATTGCTGGATTAATTCTTATTGGCTATTAACTCCTAAAGTAGAGAGATGTCTCTATTAACTGCGAATTTTGTCTTTGATATGAGTTAGTATTTAGAAAACTGTCTGATTTAGATGCCCTTCTGCTGGTGCTCTGTCTTGTACAACATCTTTTCAGACAAAACCCTTGATTCACTTACATGTCTCTCTTATAGACCCATCAAGGCAAAGCCCATATGATTTTGTTGGGCTCTGGTGTATTCGTTTGTTATGTGCCGTGGAGTTGGTTCCAATTCATAGCCACCCTGTATAGTGTACTCAGAGCTCTTTATAGGAACAGAAACCCTCAACTTTTCTCCTGTGGAACGGCTGGTAGTTTCGAACTGCTGACTTTGAAGTTAACAACATTACTAGTAACCACTACGCTACCAAAGCTCCCTTCTGGTGTATAGTATATACTTAATATATGCCTGCATGGATGTAAAGATTGATGGTATGTTCCAAGATATGATATAAGAGTATAATTTGAAAAGATTGGTTACTGAAGCAAGTTCAGATTAGCCTGTAAAAATTTATTTAGGAATGTTGGTAAAACAGGAAGGGAGAGTAAGAGGTGGGTTGAGATAAGGACAAAGGCCAGGGAAGACTGTAAGAAAGGAAGCTTTTGATCTTTCAAGAAAAGTTAGTCTTCTAGCTCCAGAAACGTCCTGGGTTTGGCTCCCAATAGGCTCAGGTCATCTTCCCTGAGGAATCTGATGTGGTGTGAGGGGATCTTGACCTATCTTTCCTTCTTCCCTATCCTAACCACTTGTCATAATAAAAAGGATGATTCAGATGTACTTGCAGGGTTCTACAGACTAGAACCCAAATAATTTTAAGGACTTTCTGCTCTCCAAATAGTGGGGCTCAGTTAGGATCTGTAACCCGCGTCTGCCAGTCAACAATTGTAGCTTTCATATCTTCCTAGGAAGTCTGGAATGAGGAGGAATTTAAATAAAGGGAGGTAGAACTCGGAGCATTAGGCCTGATGGAGGGCTACCCCAGTGGGAAAGGGTCAATGGAGGGAATGCTGCAGGTTTGCCAGGTAACCAGGCTTGCCTTCTGCTAGGCCCAGGCAACTAGGGGCTGCTTTCTGAGGGGTACCCAGCCATACTGCATCAGATGATTTAGGAAGACTTTTCTTTTTACTTACTGATGTCTTACAATTTTGTAATCAGTAAAGTTCACAACCACACTTAATCATGTTGTTGTGAAAGGCTGTCAAGTTTGTTCCGACTCATAGCGACCCTGTAGAGGGTTTAGGAGGAGCTGCTGGTGGGTGGGAACTGCTGACCTTGTGTTTCACAGTCTAGTGCTAATCCTATAGAGTCAACTCAGGAGCCCTCACTTAATCATAAGGCTTGTAAATAAGAATAATTATATTGATAATTTCTTTATAAAATGAAAATTATCTGTACTTGTCTTTTTAAAAACTTGCATTAAAAATAAGAAATTGCCAATTTATGTTTTACTTCATCAGCCTGTAAGGTACATATATTATTCTATTACTAAAATCCTTTCAATTTGAGACGTTTTTATAGCTTCAAGAACTATAAGAAAAATGAGAAGCTCTATCTATCCTTCTTGCTCCCCTTTTTATTAAAGCCACAATGACTTTGAAGGAATGTAAAGGCATTAAAGATGACTTAAACTATCAGTCATGCTTCATTTAGAATTCAACAAAGAACAAATTTAAAGAATGGATTAGCAAGTTTGGTTTCTTTATATGAATAATACTCATTTCCTATACAATCATCTTAGAGAGCTATACAATCATCTTAGAGAGAAGGAGTCCTTATTGTTACACCAGATAATACAGTGCAGAGTGCATGCGGGAGGCACTGTCTGTCCAGATCGCAGCAGTGAGTTTGGGGAAACTTGGAGACTTTTGGAGTGCCGTGCTAGTGGTAGGAGCCAGGAGTGGATTATGAGTTAATGGCACCTCTCCACTGCACCTGATGAGCTGTCCTAGAAAAACAATTTGAAGCAATAAAGCATCCATTTGGCTCCTAAGTAACGAGAGAAGCATTGCTCTTTGCATTAACTATTTATTCAGGAAGAGAAGTGACCAACTGTTACAAGCTTTATCAAGAGAGGGTAGTGGAAAACAGAAGAAAATGCAAAAATGAGGTTCTCTTCCATTTCATACGCAATTAAAAAATAGCCAAAGCTAAATGGCTGGTGTTCTTCCATGTGACTTTTGGCTAGCTGATTTAAGAAGGCGTGCCTGTCAGATACATTAAAGACCTCTTGGTTTGAGGAAGGACTGTGTATCCCAAACCAACGATAAGGGAGGAAAGGCAATGACTGGTGAGTAGCTAATATTAGGTTGATCTCTCTTGGAAGCATTAGACAGAAGGTGGATAGTAGTGATTTTAGGCTTATTGGTTTCCTCCTTTTGGGAGAGGAGTCCTTTTCTTTTAAGGTGATTGTTGCTTTTTCAATAATAGATTTATGATGTGGTTGAGTGGTTTGTAACCTGAGAAAGTAAGAACTGCGTATATAAGTAAATATATGATTTATTATTTGGAAATTGTTTCTATCATTATGCTCTTTTTCCACAAGTAAATAATTGGCTGTTTCTTTGTGGTAAATCGCTAGAATTTAATAACTTCAAGATTATGGACAGAAAGAATATTCTATCCACATACAAATAGGGGCTTCTTTCAAGTCGTTTCAGAATCTTACTTTGAAGCGCCTTTGGTGCTGTCGTAGCATGAGGTTTTCATTTTGCTTTAAGGTTCTTAATGTAATTAATTTGCCTATTTTAGTGACAGGAAAAAAAGATGAAAGTAACAATCATTTCTTTCCCTAAAGCCAACTGAAGGGCTTTTATGCTGATTCTTTCTCCTTGCTTTCACTAAAATAATAGTATAGCAGAATTCTACACAATGGAAAAAAAAAAATCTTGCACATAGAGCAGATTAAAACATGCAGTGGAAGTTATATGAAAATCCAATGTTATTTAACTAGTTACGGAATGATCTTGATTCATCAGTAAGCAAGGTGTGAAATCATTTAATAGTGCATGCCTTTGATTCACAATTTTTAGAAGTTCCATATTAAAAAGTGCATGTAATTTTAAGTTTCCTCTAAATTATTTTGAAGCATATTAAAAATCGATTTTGAAGACACATTTCAAGAAAGAAGGAGGTATTATTTATTCCGGTTCAGAGCCTTCGGTACAGGGCTAACTAGTCTGAGGTGTTTTATAACAGGATTAAAGACAAGTTGAGACTCCTGAGAATTCAGATTGAGGGCTTTCTTGTTTCCTAGATCACATTCTATCATCCACAGAGAATAAAACCTATCTATGTTTTAGAGAATCTTTCTTTATTAAGTATATAAGGTCATAGCAAGTATAGTTTCTAAAATTAGGTTTGACAACAATTTGCCTTGTTGGTTACTAAAAACCGTTGGTTGAATTTTCCCTTGCCAGATAATCACGCCCTTCAGACGGCTAATGCTGTGTGCTGACAATAGGAAAGAGATGGAGGATTGGATCAGCTGCCTCAAGTCCGTACAGACCAGAGAACCTTATGAGGTAAGAGAGGTCTCTCCTATCGTCTCATGCTCTTAGGGAATAAATATTAGCCAAAGAGAATAAGCGACTGTGTGTAAAAATATGTCTGTGTGCGCTCACTCAGCATCTTGTTTAAACCTCCTTTTGAAATTTTCTATTTAAAGCAAAGCGCTTCACTTGTAAAAATTATGGATCTGAACATTTTATCATCACTGTATACATTCTGCGTAGTTGAAGGTCTGTAGTCTTGTTCTGTCCTTTGGCAAATGTGTGCGGCTTTCTCGTTTCTAGGTGGCCCAGTTTAATGTGGAACATTTCTCAGGGATGCATAACTGGTACGCCTGCTCCCATGCCCGCCCCACCTTCTGTAATGTGTGCAGAGAGAGTCTCTCTGGAGTCACCTCCCACGGCCTCTCCTGTGAAGGTACGTGGCAGCCAACGTGTTCTCTCCCAGCACTGAGATCACTGCGAACACACACTCATCACAGGGGTGGGTGCACTAGCCTGGCGTGTTCCCCTGAAACGCTGCTGTAAGTTCTGTTCAAGGTTAACGTCGAGATCTGCGCATATAGGACTAACTTGGGATGGGGTTCTTTTTGCATGGGGAAAGATAAAATATTAAATCGTTTGAAAGGAGGATATGGACCAAAGTGCAGCATTTCACCCTTGCAGGACTACTGTTTAAAGACATTTTTTGGAATTTTTAATTTTTTCATCTTCGTATTCTTTATTTTATTCAGACTGACTCTGGAGAACGAGTTCTGTGCCAACAGTATATACTCTTGGGCAGAATCTTTGATTGTCACATATATTGCATTATTTAAAACACTTTTTTTTAAACTTAAATGGATGTCATTCTTTTATAATTTCTTAAAGTTGTCCAAAAATAAAACCTATGATGGCTTTTGGAGTCCTAGTGTGGCACTGGACTGATAACCTAGAATAAGCACTGAATGATAACCACGAGGTCCGCAGTTCAAATTCAAGCAGCTTAGCTGCTTCTTGGAAACCCTGTGAGTTGGCACCTGACAACAACAATGATGGCTCCTTGGTGTTTTGCTGTTAGTTGTTTTGGTTTGTTTTCATTACCACATTTGTGTAGTTTTTAAGTTGATTCTGACTTCTAGTGACCCTATACAGGATTTCTGAGGCTGTAAGTTTTTACAGAAGCAGAAAGTCTCATCTTTCTCCCAAGGACCGTCTGGTGGGTTTGAATAACTGACTTTGATTAGCAGCCCATTGCTCATCCTGAAGCTCCACCATGGCTTTCTTATTTTACAACTGCTGTTTGCTGTTGTTCCGTTGAGTCAGTCCTGACTCACAGTGACCCTGTGTAGAGTTTCCAAAAGTGACTGGTAGGTTTGAACTGCCAACCTGGTGGTTCATAGCCCAATGCTTATCTTGTAGTGCCACACCAGTGCTCATTTTAAGACTATTGATCGAAAGTAAATACATTTATAATTACTTAGAGATAACTCATCACTTTTGTAGATATATTTAATTTTGTATTTTAGCCATCACCATTGTGTACTGTTTTTTGAATGATATATAACGCTAATGCTATTTTTTCACTAATAAAAATATTTCTTCAGTAATTTTGAATATAACTTTATTAAAACTTAATAATAAGACAGTAATAAGGCCATAGTTTTTAGTTTATTCTAAATAGAAAAATCTGGGATATATTTTTATTAAATCTTATAACATGATAGTTAAGAATAGGTTCGTTTTGAAAGTATTAAATGTCACTGAATTGTCCTCCTAAAAATAGCTAATTTTATATGAATTTCACTTAGGGGGAAAAAAATAAAGAATAGGATTCTGTAGCTAAACTTTCTGGGTTCAAATTTCATGTCCATGTCTACTAACTATGTGACCAGGGCAAATTATTTTATTCTTTGTGATACACTGGACCTCAAGGTCGGTTTGAACTACAAGGGCGGCAGTTCAAACCTCACTAGCCACTCTTCCGAAATTCTATACAGGGTCACTATGAGTTTGAACTGACTCAACAGCACTTAACAACAACAAAATGGCGATAATAGTTATTTCTGTCTCATAGAATCACTATGGAAATTCAATGAGAGGATATAGGCAATAAAATTTAATTTGTGCTCCAATAAATTATAATTCTAAGAAATTTATCAAGTACATAGCTCCAGACTGCCTCATGATTGCGTAACAGTGAATTAAAACAAAAATTTGGAGATGGCATTGAACATATTTTAGATTTAAAGACTGATTGCAAACCAAGATACAGTGTGCTTTTTCTCTTGGTGTTAAGTGCCATTGAATTGGTTCTGACTCATAATGATCCTGTGTAGGGTTTCCGAGGTGGGTTTGAACCACGAATCTTTGGGTTAGCAGTCCAGTGCTTATCCTACAACACCACACCAGAACTCTGATATGATCTAAATCATGTAGATAGATGTAAATCACTGCCTCAGGACTCTAATACTATGTAATATGTTGTCTGTTAGAAATCTTCTATTACCTACTTACTAGTTTTTCATCCCAGGACATTAATAAAGATACAGATTTGAGATGATATTTTGACTTAAGAGTTATCATAATTAAATATGTTTAATTACTTAGGATGAGGATTAATTATAGAATGACTAAGTACTTTCCAAAGCATTTTAAAAGAAAATTATACCAGCTAGTGAAAATAATAACCTCAAGTCTTTAAATAAATTTGTAAATAATAAGGAGTCCTGTATTGTAAGTAATAAGGAATGGTGCTGTAGACTAAACACTAGAGCATTAGCCACAAGTTTGGTGGCTCAAACCCACCAGTGGCTCTGAAGAAGAAAAATGATTTACAGTTTGAAAAGCCCTGTACAACTGGATGATCAGAGCTCAACTAGAAGAAGAAAGAAGAGGGAAAAAAAAGAGTAATCTGATACAATTTGATGAACTTGACCTACACCTATAGATGCAATAGCTCAAAAGAGGGAACAAATCTTTACAGCAAGGATCATTCCCACCCCCTCCTTACACAGAGTAAACAGGGATGGGCAACTTGGACATTGGCACCCCAAAATGGGGGGCTACAAAGGCAAGAAGTGACTGTCTTACAAGCTTTCAAGAGGGAGCCTAGTTCCAGAGGGCGCAAAGGAAGGTAGAATCTCCACTGAGTAGTATCCAATCTGTCTGGATGGGGCTGATGAAAGGAAATACAGATAGGTCTCTTGTGGTACAATGGTGAATAATTGTTATCAGGAGTGACTGTGAGGGTTGGAAATGTAAAGGTAGATGTTTTATAGCAAAAGGAGGGGAGTGACTGACTTTGCAGTCCAGGAGCTGAGGTCTCTGGAATCATCAAGGGAGAAGAGTGGAGTGTGGGACCCTACCCAGAGAAGCAGTGATGCCAGAGATGAAGGCAGAGACGATGACGTGGAGAGATGGAGCGGCTAGGAACTCTAGACCAGCGAGGGAGAAGGGCTATGTGCTGATGACCGGAGGGGGGGGGGCAGGGGCAGGCTTGCAGGGCATACTCTTTGGTTGTTTGATGATGCATGAAGGGGATTGTAACCATGGCAATGAACGATATACAATAGGATGAATGTAAAGCTAATGTTCTCCCATGTAAACGATCATATAATTCACAATAAACCTATAAAAACAAAACAGCAACAAAAAAAGCCCTATATAGGGTCAGTGTGAGTCGGAATCGACTTGATGGCAGTGATTTATTTTTTGGCGGCTGAAATGTGGGTTAAGCATTGGGCTGCTAACCTAAAGATCAGCAGTTCAAAACCACCAGCGACTCCTCTGGAGAAAGATGAGGCTTTCCCGTATAAATTTATCATCTCAGAAACCCTACATAGGGCCACTCTGAATTGTGATGAACTTGGTTGCAGTGGGTTTGTTTGTTTTTATTTTGTAAATAATGGTGTTTTCGTTTTTTCTGTGGGGTAGATATCAATTATTGGATGTTTGCATAATATTTTCTAAGATTATTTATTAGCATTTCAGTTTCTCTAAGTGATGAAAATTTAAACCTGCAACATCTTGCCCATTTGTGATTTTAAAACCATAACAGAATGTTTTATAAAATTCCCAAAGTTTTTATGAGTATTAAAATATTGTCTTTTTATTTAATAAGAACATATCTTTCTAGACTATATTTAGCATAATCAAAATCATACTTAAACTTTAGAACCACCACCACCACCCACCAAAAAAAAAAAAACAAAAAAAAAACCTGTAAAAACTACTTGATGGAGGAGGGGATGGAAGAACAAGGTAGATAGGGGAACATAGAGACAGGTTTGCATGTCCTATGTGGGACAGAGGTAAATAGTGATTCATACTCAACCTTGGAACAACAGGGCTCTGTGATACATGGATCAAGGCGTAGTTTGAAGAGGGGAAATCATACTAAGATGCTTGACAGTCTTATGTATATTGGTTTCCCTTGATTACCATTGTAAACTAGACACTTGAGTGGGATACAAAGGAATGTTGGGAAACATGATTACAGAAAGCTTGTAAGCCTGTCTTCAGCCTATAGCTGATTGGAATACCTAAAAGGGGTTCTAGAACTTGCCCAGTGAAATAGGCCTCCTGAGGAGCCTTTGCAGCATATAGGACCTTAGGTGGAATCCTGAGCCCCATCCAGAACCTTCTGAGGTGGGACATTCCCACTAGAAAGGACAAGCAGACCAGCCTGGAACA